ATTATAATGCATGATCTTCAGCCAATCAAATTTAATCTGATGATCTGGATCAACAACCAATTAAAACAAACCTCTATCATGCTTTTGCCCTCCTGAAACCTACTTATACTTGTTTATTATAAAACCTACGTCTAAACCCTAATCCTAACACTAAAAAAATGCTAAAAAAAGTGCACCCCGAAAAATTTGTATTTTTCGGTGGCTTGTCTATTTTACAATATCTCTCATTTCATTTTAATCTGATTTCATTTTAATCTGTCACAATAAATAAAAATATTTACATTTATCGTTATCAAAAAAAAACCGGAAAATTGCAATTATGGTTTCAAGCAAGGACCAATGACGTTATATTGCGGACACTGTACAAAATGTACAGTCATTAAAGTATTTTTGTTTCACAAACACTATATAAAAAATGTGGGTTCGGTTCGCTTACAGTTCTCGAAACTAATCAATTAAACTTCCAGGCATGAAAGATCTTTTATCTTGTCCAACTACAATGACACAAAACTCTCACCTTAGCGAGAACGAAAATGAATCTCTGGATAATTTGCTTCTCCGTCTCGCCGCAGAGCATAAAAGGCCTTTCACTGGCTGGGATTACACCTACCTCAATGATCGTATGAAAGAGAAACAAGACGATCTACCTTGGAATTATGAAAACACCGTTAAAGAATTATTAGAGGAGTGTACAGGACTCTTAGACATAGGTACAGGTGGCGGTGACTTTCTTGCATCATTAAGTCCATTACCAAAAGATACTTGCGCGACTGAAAACCGGGCTCCCAACATTGACGCCGCAAGACGACGCTTAAAGCCACTTGGAGTGACTGTTACAGGTATGTTTATATTTATTTGCCAATATACTTAGGTGTGACGCGTTTTTTTTTTAAAAAAAAGAAAAAAAAAGATTTGATATAGATTGTACTTTTTTTTTTTTTTAGCTGTCACTGAATATGATGTTCGACTCCCGCTTGATGATTGTAGATTTGATTTAATTATTAATCGCCATGAACCTTATCTTTCTTATGAAGTTCATCGGCTTCTTAAATCAGATGGTTTATTTGTCACACAACAAGTAGGTGATAGAGATAATATGGAATTGAATCAACTCTTGAATGCACCAGAACTCCTTGGGCATCGCGAATGGAATTTAGAACACGCTTGTAACGAATTAGAAAATGTTGGCTTTTCTATTTTATTGAAAGATGAGGCATTCATGGAGACTAAATTTTATGATGTTGGTGCGATCGTGTATTATTTGAAGGCTGCCCCTTGGCAAATTGAAGATTTCTCTATTGAAAAATATTCTGAGCAACTTATTAATTTACATCATTTAATTCAAAAAGAAGGGTGCCTTTCTGTTAAGAGTCATAGATTTTTTATTGTTGCTAAAAGGTAATATTTAATAATTTTAGGTTACTAAAAACATTATTGATTTGAAATCATATTGGCTACATGCCCTATACGCATTAGAAGGTTGGTTACGCGATCAGCTTGCTTGCTTATTGGTTAAATTAATCAGAGTATTCTCAACCTTCTGTATAAAGGAAATCAAATTAGCTAAGAGCTGTCTTTTATATCTAACATCAACGCATCTTTTCACATCATGCAACTTATGTAATTTAACATTTGTAACTTTTTCATGTATATCACTAGCTTTATATTACAATTTATACGTTCATATCAAAATTATTTTATTATTTTCAACAAAATGAAATTAATTCATATATATAACAACAATAAATTCAATAATTTATCAGGTCTAACTGAAGAGAAAATTTTATGGTTGGTTAAACGTGAATGCTTGATCGTTTTTCGGATCCATTATCAACGTAAGTAATTATTACACAAAATTCTTTAAATTTATTATAAGCAATATTTTTTTAGGAACACTTGCAAGGTAAAACATTGTTTCTGACGGATCGGCGATATGGGTTAAAAAAAAAAAAAGACAAATATTTGCGTAGTGTTCTGGCAAGAATGCAAAAAGAACCTCGTGGCTGATTTTTTCCACATACTTCGTTATTAGGAGTGTAGTATTTTAGAGGTTCCTTGGTTAAGAGTAGCTACCTTTTTACGTTACATTAAATTTGGGCAGCTAACTCTAGCTACAGCTATACATTATACTATTGCGCGTTCTTATGCTCGCACCTTTAATTAGGAACGTACGTAGATCATCTTTTCTTTAATCCATCAGGAACAGTACTGACCAAAGAATTCGTTGAAAAGAGTCACAGGTAAAATGATATCTAATAGGGTACCAATAGACATCCCTATTTCTGGAAGATTTTAGCGCAAAAGAAGGTATCGACAGGTATCAATTAGACTAATATTATTCTGATTGATGCCTATTGACACCCCATTAACCTCCTTTGCGCCAAAATCTGACAGCGATAGGGATGTCTATTTGCAAATTTGGCAGCAATAGGGATGTCTATTGGTACCCTATTAAATATCATTTTACCTGTGAGTTACAGTTATGAATCGATGAGTGATTAATGACACATATTTGTACATTTCTGAGAAAGTGAGCATAACAGTTTAAACATCCTAATAGCTCGCAGATAAGGGATGAACGCGTGGAGGATGTTTAAGCTGTACTTCTATATAAATGTTGAATAGTGCAAAATATTTTATTCAATTTAGTGCTTTTCTTTATACACATGCCTGCAATAGATTACCGGGTTGTTTCTCTTTTTACTAATAAAGTATATAAAAAATAAGAAATTTTTTAATTTTATTAATGATTCTTTTTTTTTTTTTACCTATTTAAAGTTAAGTACAGTCGCACTCTCCAAGTGCAAGTACTATATAAACCCTCTCTTAATGTACGATCCAATCTGGTCCAAACTTATAAAAGTTATATATATATTATTTTTTATAAATGCAATATTTTTTTAAATACAAATTTTGCAATTTTTTAACTATGGTTCTGAGAGAATGCATTTAGAAAATATAACTAGTTATATTGTTTAAAAATTTTTTAGAAACTTTTATAAACAACCTTTCTGTTAAGAAGTTAGTTTTAAAAACTTATATATAAATTTATATATATATATATTTTTTTTTTTAATCTTGCTACTGTTTATTTAGATAT